TGCATCACCCAGGTGGGGCTGCACACTGGTGGTGCTGAAGGGGATCCCCATGACCTGTACAGCGCTTTGAGCGGAGTGTCCAGAAAAGAAAACTGATAATTGGAAGAATCTAAATACAACCGTATAAGTGCAAGGAATTATTATTTTGGTAATCAGGAATATTGTCCTGTAGGAGGTTGTATCCTTTGGGCAGGGTGTTAATCCGAGATCCCAGCTCCTTAGTGATTAAATATCCCCTGGCTGTGCTTGAGAGTCTGGATGCTGACCCCGGTGTCCTGGCTAAAGTCCACTCTGCAAAATACAGTAATTCATAAATGATATTGTTTCAAATGCAGTTTGTAGCACAGGTAAATAAAAATCCCTGAGGAGCTGATGTGTGTTTGCAGGTACTGGGGCTCCATCGTGACCTGTGTGTGACATGGTGTCTCTTTTGCACATGATCTCAATCGTCACCATTTGTCATTTTTATTTTCTGCGGTGGCTGCACTGCTTTTCATCCATCTATTTTCTTAACCGCTGTAATCAGTACAGGAACACAGAGCAGCTGGAGCCTACCCTGGCAAGCAATGGGTGCAAGGCAGGATACACCCTGGACAGGATGCCAGTCCATTGCAGAGCACTCACACACACACTCACAACAGGACCAGTTTTCCCCGATCCCGATTAACCTATCCTAATAGATAGGAAACCAGAGCACCTGGAGGAAACCTCAGAGAGAACATACAAACTCCACACAGACAGCATCCCAGGTCTGGAATTGAAGCCAGGGCCTCAGCACAGTGAGGCGGAAGTACAGAGCACTATGCCACCGTGCCACCCTGTGACAATACTTGAGTGGCTTAAAATTGAAGTTACACTGCAGACCACTATAATGTCTTCATTATATAAAAATATTAACATTTTAATTAACCATCCAGTCTTCATACTTTTCAAGGCAGTCTTTAGACTGTGATGGATGTAAAGGTTCAAGCAGTTCATGCTTGTTCCTGTGCATTCTTCAGATCGGTTTAAGGAGAAGAAGCTCCTGACTTCACATGCAGACAGTGCACACAAATATCTCCTTCTGAATAACACTGGTGCCTCTGGGAATCAAGCAGTTGGATGTATTTCAAAGAACGGGGAGATCTATCTGTGCAATTTGAAAAAATATATATATATATGTCTGTCTTTGCAGAACTTAAATATCTGTTGGATTCCTTTCTAGGTATTGATGCCAATATTAAGGACAGCCAAGAGAGAATGGCCCTGGATATTCTGAAGGAGCACCCATCACAGAAATCCCAGCAAATCACGGCTCTCATTCAAGGTACTGGGGACAGGGGAGCTCCATTCACCCATGGGACCAGCTGCTGTGACTTCAGTAGGGCTTTATGATTGATGTCCTTCTGTGGGGAGTAATTGGAGAAGAGAATAGTGTCTGAATTCAGGGCTCGAGCTTGTAATAGCTATTAATTAATTAAATTAAGCACCCCATCAATTGATACAAAATTCTACCTACCTACCAGGGTAGGAAAAATATTTTGCACTCCAATAAGTGGTGTCATGCAGGATAATAAAAGTTGAATGATTTGTGTTTTTAAGGATGTGAACACCATCTGCTCTGAGTGTTGAGTGCCAAGGTGCAGGGATAGATTTTGTTGTGGCCCCTCTCCGATTAGAACACTAATAATTGTTTCTGTCAGAGAACACATGCTAAAATGACAAAGTGGTTATTTTTGCTCATTTTAAATAAGCAGAAGATATTTTGTAAAGAAGTCTAATCTTTTTTGGTTTTGCTATTAATTTGATTGTGGAATATTCTTTGATCTATGTAAGATACATTGGCCTTGTCCTCCTGTAACCAGTTATAATTATCTTCTGATTGCATCATATAACTTCTTGTTATAAGTTTTTCTTGTACTCACTCCTTGTGTGTATAACACCTGTTAGGAATGCATCAAATCAAACATGATTTCATTCTGTAAAAATATTTTAAAAACTCCTGGAAAAGAATTGAAAATTGCATTTTCTTAGTTAGTAAAAAGGACTGTGCATAAAAAAGAAATAAGACAGCTCTTGTCCTGACAATATTCCAAGCACAGCATGGCAGAAACATCAGATTTGAGTGGATGGAATTTGGCCTTTACATTTTTGTTTCAAGAACATTTAGGACCATCAGACGAGCGTGCCAGGATTGAAAATAATCCTGTAGGAAGTAGCCATTCTCATGGCTCTTATCCTGTTTACTTAGTCATCCATCATTTAGACATGTCATAGAAGAGATAAATGCAATTCCATCTTTAATGCTCAGCAGGGTTCGAGATCAAACCACCAAATTCCTTTATGCACAGTGAGTAAGAGTTCTGCGAGGTCAGGAAATGACTGTGAGCCTGTGGGCCAGCTCTGCCCAGTAGTGGCTATATTCACACGGAGAAGCAGATGAGGACTGACGAAGCATTTGTCTTCTGTGACTTTGGTTTTTCCTGAAAGCTGACACATTCTTCACCGAATGTTCGTACACTGACACCCCAGAGGTGCAGCAGTATGTTGTGTCCATCAGTGTGGAGCAGAGAACAGGGAGTCACGGGTTCAGATCCACAGGGGCGATACTGCTGCTGTTGAACCCTTGTCCTTCACTCGGATTGTATGAACAGGTCTCTGAATGTCATTGTGAATGAGAGTCTGTTCTCAGCTAAGAGAGCTGGTTTTATAAAGGATTAAGCAAACACCTGTAGCTACATTTTTTTAAACCAATGACATTGCTCAGTTTTGTTTATACTTTTTAAAGTATTTTTTGATACTGTGTGCCTGGTTGGTGTTACAGTATGTACAGTATATAGCTCTTTTAGAAAGGAGGCTATCTGAAGCTGGAAGCACAACGGGCAATGCATTTTGCAGTTCAGAGCTGCTTCAGCTCTGGAGATTATCTTGTTTTCTGCTGAGCGCAGGTCTGTGCTCCTGAGCTCTGTACAGAGAAGGCATTTTTTTTTTTCCAGTGGAACTTTTTTGACTTATTTGTGAACTGTGACTGAAAACGCTGATGTGTGCACTTCCCACAGGTTCTAAATACCTTATACCTTATAAAAATAACTCAACAAAGTTTGAACCTTTGAAAAGATTCCTAAGACTGAAAACCACGGCTGCACAGCTGTGCCACTCCTCCCCCCAGAGTGCGGTCTCTCTCAGTATGACTGCGATTGCTCAGCGATTTCAAAACTCCGGGGGCTTCACGGAAACAAGGGGGGGGGGAGAAACTGCTTTCTTGGTTTCTTCATTTCCGAGTCAATTGTGACGCCCGTTGTTCAATTTACTGTTTTTTTTGTTCATTTAAACTCTTTGGTTTTGATTTTTTATTCCTGTTTTTTTTTTTTTTAAAAGGGGTCTCTGATCGTTTCACCCCCTTCATATCTCGGTTTAGAAGTGCCGGTCAGTAACCGGCACCGGCAGCTGCGCGTCTCTTCTACGGCGTGCGTGAGGGCATTCGTCTTTCCTGCGCCCCGCAGTCCCACGCGCGCCACCGGCTCGCCGACGCTGGCTGTGGTCGGGCGAGCTGAGGAAACTCGGGCGGCGCCTCCTGCGTCCGAGCTGCGGATGAGTTGAAACCCTCAGAGACATTAGCCGGTCAACCCAGTGAGACCAGAGTGGAAACAAATCGATTACGGGGGGTACCTCTTTACACAAAGGGCAGTGGGAGTGTGGAACAAGCTGCCCAGCCATCCCAGTCAAGTCACAGCTGAATGTGATCATCAGTTTGCTTCTAAATACCACATGTGCTAGACAGGCTGGCCATGCTTTGGTTTGCAACCTTTTTCTCCTCTGGTGCCCTTATGATCAAACCCGAATGGGAGTCTGCAGCTTGGCAGCTATGCCTGCACACGCTGTCACCAGCTGAGATGCTCAGGAGCCCCAAGCTAGTGTGATAAGACTCTGTACAGATCTTCAGTTCTGCTTCTGGTTCCTGTGTCGAGTAATAATAACAAACAAGAAAACCACTGTCCCGAAGAATTGTAAAAATGTAAAAATAGAAACAATCTGCTGATTTGGGTGATGTTCTTAAGTACCTCTTTCTAATGTGTCGCTTGCATTTCTGCATCCTTAACTAGGCCCCAGATTCTTTCTGTGATTATGCTTTTAATTTGTGTGTCTCTTTGCCTGGTTCCTTGCCCTGAGTTATCCTGCAGCTCCCACGCTCCCACCCCCGACCTCTCGTTATAGATCCCTGTGGGAGTGTGTGTGTGGTCAGCTCCCGGGCTACTCTCTATTCAGCAAATACAGTACATCGCTTTCTGTGACTGGTGATGTCTCTTCTTTTTCCAGAGAACATGTCGGAGAAGCAGGAACAAGTGAGCGTGGAGGAGCCGGTGAGACCAGTCCCCACACCTCGGTCCTCCATGTCCTCACCAGCCGCCTCACCATCCCATAAAACCAAAAGTAAGTCCCTCTCCTGCTGGCAGCCTCCGAGAGAGGGGCTCTCTCAGCCCGGAATGTGACCGGGAGCAAAGATTCTTCAGAACCTGAATACTCACCTCAGAACCTTCAGAACCTGAATACTCACCTCAGAACCTTCAGAACCTGAATGCTCTCCTCAGAACCTTCAGAACCTGAGTGCTCAGACAGCCCTGGGCAGTGTGAGGGTCGTCTGAGAAGACTGTGGTGAGGCCTCAGTGGAAGGAGTTTCCACACTCCTTCATTGATAGATAGATAAGATTAATTGATCCCGAAGGGAAATTGATGTGTTACAGCGGTCCAGCCCAAGACAAGCCGAAAAACAGACATCAGAATAGCCGAAATTTGAAATTTGAATACGTACAGTAATACAAAATAAATATAAAATAAATAAATAAAAATAAATACATAGGTGTGTGCAAAATATGATCTTAGTCACTGTAAAAACAATAAAATTTGTGCAAAAAGTGCATAGGTATATACAGATTGAGTGTCCAAAAAAGTACAATGGAGCAACATGCTGTCCATAGACGAGCAAATGAAGGGCTAACAGTCCTAGCCTAGGGCAGCGTTAGAACTTAACGCCCAGGTGCAGCTAACTTTACGCAGATGAGCTTAATAAACCGTCGTTCAAGCATTTGTAGGAGTGGGAGCGGTTGGCTTTAATCAGCATGTCAGTTCAGGGAGAAACGCTGGTTGAACCAGCTGCTGAACAGACTGGCTGTAGGGGTCGTTTTGTATTAGTTTAGACCAGCAGCAGAAACGTGGCGCCGTGTGGACATTTTTTTAGAGCGATAATGAGAACAGAAGCATGTGATTGTGGCACGTCTGGGCCGTCCCCTGCCAGGATGGGAGGCCTGTGTTTTTGAGGCAGCTCCTGCGAAGCCCAGCCAGCGCCAGCAGCTCAGGGCGGCTGTGTCAAACAGAGCAGGGGACGTTCCTGGAGGGTCACTTCACTGTAGAACTTCATACAGCCGGGCCCTCCCCACGTCCAGTCACACGCTACCACGGGCAGCCTCTGCCGTGTTGAGTTGTACCGCATAGCACATGGAACTGCAACGGGTTCACAAAGATATTACCAGCACACTGACAGTCGTCTCTGTGGCAGGGGCGCTGATATTTTCTGGAGCAGACCTGACACGGGCAAATTCACGATGCTGATTAACATGCGGCATCAACGGGGTTGGACAGCAGGGGTCGGTTGTGAAAGTAGCAGGCTTCGCACCAGGTGCACGTGCTGTCTTATGGGATTGTGTGCCACTGGTCTTGGAAGAGCCTGCCGGCTGGTCTCCGAGCCCTGGGAGCCACACACCTTCCCAGCTCGTCCAGGACATACCTGCCGTGATCGCAGCTCACAGGAGAGCCAGTGTTAAAAAGGAGGAGCACGAGGACGAGTGCTGTCCTGCTAGAATATTCTCAGGTCGGGATGAGCCTACAGAGAGCAGCTAGTGAGGCCCCAGGTCTCGGTCAGTGTGGCACCATGCAGTCAGGCTGCCATTAATAACTACAGAACGGAGGGGCTGTTATCAACTGGACAGTCCAGACAGAGAGCAGCACTGTGTTACTGGTCCAGCCGCCAACGTACCGCTGGCAAAGAGGCGTTGTTCTCTTGATACTCACGCATGTTGGTTCCTTTCTGGTTTTCCTTTCCCGATTTTTACCAGGTCAGACCTGGTCAACGAGTTAGCTCCCCTCCTCACCTGGGCCCACTCTCACTGCTGAAGTGCTTCCCCGCCCACACAGCGGTCACAGTCACTCAGGTGTGCTGCGGTCACCCAGCAATGATCAGGCGATAAAAGAAAAACCCAAAACATCGAGTCAATATTCAATCCTTATCTTCTTTTTCTAAAAACATGAATCTAATTTGAGTGATACAGTACATTTCTGTTGATTCCCAGTATCATATTGTGTTTTTGCATTAAAATACAAGTATGTGTGTCAGCCTTAATGATCATTCTGCACCTGCAGTACAGTATGTGGGCAACGTGTCTGTCACTCAGTGACATTGAGGCAGGAAAGACTGAAGTATGAGTTTTAACTTGAGTCTTATTCAGGGATAAAGTCAATGATTTTTTAAATACATACTACAAGCTTCTTCTGGTGCTCATCTGATTACCATACATTAAAACAGGGCATGAGGGTTCATCTGAAAAAGAAAATTATTTTTTGTTTTTTTAACAAATGTTTTCTTTTTTAAATTCTTTGTTGTGAATCCTTTGTATAAAGGGGCATGGAAGCCACATAGGATGCAACAGAAAGGGTAATTTTCATGCAGGAACAGAAGTTATAGGATTTTTATTTCTATCTAGTATATTTATTTCTATAACTTCCTGTCTGTGTTTGTCTGAAATGTACAGTATATGAATTTCTGTGTTTGTACTGCACAAACGTGCATGAAGAAGCTGACTCATTTTTCTCTTACTATACTCAGGGTAGCTTGAAGTTCTTTATTCTAAAAAAAAAACATTGCTTTGAGCTTCTTGTGAAGTTTCCATAAATGATAAGTCTGTTTACGGTTGTTGTGAAGAGCCAGCAACACGTGGACTGTTTTGCTGAAGTCTGCAGTGCCTCTAGTGGCAGGAATTATATAACATTTCAGAGTGCTGTTGCAGTGTTATTAAAAGCAGTTATCTTTACTAAATGTTATAACATCAATGCACAGTGACTCTTAATTATTTAAATTTAAGAGAAGTGAAAACTAATTCAAGAAAGATGGAAAATATGAATGTTCTTATCTGTTTAGTTATTTAAATACTCTGCCTCCTGAGGGCAGAGGAACAATAATATTAATAATGATAGTAATTCCTTACTCTTACTGTATATAGCGCTTTTCTGGACACTCCACTCAAAGCTCTTCACAGGTAATGGGGATCCCCTCCACCACCACCAGTGTGCAGCCCCACCTGGATGATGCACCAGTACACTCCCCACTCACCAGCTCTCAGTGGGGAGGAGAACAGAGTGATGAAGCCAGTTCACAGATGGGGATTATTAGGAGGCCATGATACTGTAGGTAGAGTCCAGGGAGAAATTTGGCCAGGACACCAGAGTAACATCCCTATTATTTTTAAGAAACACCCTGGGAATTTTATGACCACAGAGAGTCAGGACCTCGGTCTTATGTCTCATCCGAAGGACAACACCTTTTTATAGTATGGTGTCCCCGTCACTATACTGGGGCGTTAGTGCCCCCTACAACAGGGTGAGTGCCCCCTACTGTCCCCACTAACACCATTTCTTAGCTTTTCCAGGAGGTTCCCCATCCAGGTACTCCAGCCATCCAGGCTCATACAGTACCTGCTGAGCTCAGTGAGTTACCAGCGTTGAGTTGCAGGGTGATATAGCTGTTGACTATGGAGCTCAAGGGTGTCCCAGACCCAGCAGGATCACTGGATTACGTCAAAACAAAACAAACATCTTTTGCACTTCTGAATATCCTTGTGCAGCAGTCTCCTAGTCCCTCCAGAGGTATTGAGGTAGCAGGGCATTGTGTGTCTTCTGGTGGGGCTGCTGGGGCAGAATGGCCACTGAGTGTCTTCTGGTGGGGCTGCTGGGGCAGAATGGCCACTGAGTGTCTCCCAGGTGGGGCTGCTGGTGCAGAATGGTCCCTGTGTGTCTCCCAGGTGGGGCTGCTGGTGCAGAATGGTCCCTGTGTGTCTCCCAGGTGGGGCTGCTGGTGCAGAATAGCCGCTGTGTGTCTCCCAGGTGGGGCTGCTGGTAAAGAATGGTCACTGTGTGTCTCCCAGGTGGGGCTGCACTTCAGTTAGGGGTGAAATGGGTCCTCTCCTGTATTCTGTAGATGTACTGTAAATAGGAGTTTTCCCTGTTTGATCTACATCCTGATGTCCATGGAATGGAGGACATGAGAGCATGTGACTTCCCCAACCCCGAATGGGACGTTAGTCATATTCTATAAATATAAATATTTTAAATTAGCATTTTGAACACGGTCCTTTGATTTTCAGTACCAGAGTAGGTGATTGAAAGAACGATGAGCTCTGTTATTTTCTGTAAGCAGTTATGATGCGGTATGCCAGTCATTTCCTCTGTCAGTGTCCAGGATGGGGACTGGTTACCTCATCTTTCATGAGGTCATTGTCTGTGCACAAAGCACCAGATGCTCTTTGTTTCTGCCCCTGGCTTTGATCTTCCGAGCTGGATGTAATCGGACGAGGTCATAGTGGGGTCTCCTAGGTGTTTCTTCAGATGAGCTTGGCTTCTCTGGAAATGTAATTGCTCCTGTGAAGTGATTGAAGCTGAGGTTTACACTCCGACACTGTATTAACAATTGAATAAATGAGCACTACACACACATCAAAACAAACAAAAACGTCCGCCCAACCCTTTTTATCCATAGTACTTAGTCTTGTTTAAAGTTAATAATACATTTCCTGTCTTACACAATGCATGTAGGAGACAGTACAAAGCTAGTAATATAATATTTCCTTCTGATTACAGTTCTGAAATATGTTCTTCAATGAAGGAAAACAATATTTGCTCCCATTCCTTCTGGTAAAGAAGTTCAGCCCTTACAGTTCAGTTTGAGTGACATGATAGAACTTGTTGGTCTATTACATTGTCTCTCACACCTCAGTGTCAGAATTGTCAAACGATTTTATAATCAGGAGGAAGGGCCATAGCAATTCAACAGAAAGTTGAATCACTGCAGCTAAACCTTGTGCCAACTTAGCAGATGGGAGAATTTGACATTATATTCTGGCCTGTGTCCCTTTCCAGAGAAACCTGTTTGCTCTGTAATTTGTCCCAGTAAATACAGAGGGTGGGTGTGAGGTGACTGAGCTACAAGGGAGAAAGTGCATTGTAACAGCATATCTGTACAGCTGGCCATAGTTACTTACAGTATAATCCATCCATCCAGTTCAAAGTCATGGGGGAGCCAGAGTCTATTCCATTAAGCAACGGGCGCAAGGCTGGGTACATCCTGGGCAGGACACCAGTCCATCGCAGGGCACACGCACACACAGACACGCATCACTGAATCCCTGTACAGAGCAAGCACACGAGGGCTGTGTTGAGAATGCTGCCTCCTGGTGAAACAGAGCCAGCTGTTTCCTCCTCTGGCCTGCGAGAGGCCTCCCTGACCCTTCGCAACAGTCCCAATGGCTATTTTCAGTCTCTGCAGCATAATCACAAACTCTGTAAGCGCCCGTATTACTTTATTATCAATCATCTGAGAAATAACGAGAGGTCTAACGCATCCTCTGATCTACATTTCATCAGTGTAATTGCTAGTGAGTGAACTTAATTGCATGAATAAAACGTACATGCGAGGCCAGAATAAAGAGCTGAGATAATCAGCTTGAAAGCAGCGGACGCACGATTAAAAAGAACATTTTGCTGCTGCTGATGGGGATCAATCTGCCGAAGCTGAGTTGGGTTTTGGAGTGTGTTAGTGTGCCAGCTGCCTGGGTCACTGTAGCAGAAGAGAGTAAGGAACTGCGCTGTGAAATCAGACCCCCTGTTCAAGTTTTACAAGGAGCAAGTCAGTACCCAGCTTCAACGTCCAGACCCTTTGCAGTGGATAGGTAGGACGGGGTCTCGTATCTAAACGAGGTTTTCCGATTTAGGCTTTCTTTTTAATATTTTTTCCTTTTCTGGCCAGTTTAAATAAATTAGAAGTCGCCCTGGTGGGGGAAGGTGATGGTTGGTATCAGGTTTCTTTAATGTTGCAGCTGTAAGGAGATTTAAAAATAAGCACTGGCGACAAAGACTTCTTAATCATGTTGCACTGGCCGGACAGAAACACAGCCTTCTTAATCCATCCAAAGAGACGCACTCACAGAAGTGTTTTTTTTTTTGTTCTCTTGCAGATGAAACGGTGACGGGGGAACTGTCAAAATTATTAAACGAAATCAAAATGTGCAAAGACAAAGAGTATTCTTTCGAGGATCTGTGCCAGACCGTGGCGTCGCACTCAGTGGAGAGCTCCTGCAGCACCAGGCCTTCGGAGGAGGACAGGAACGGCAGCCTGACCAGGACGAGCAAGGTACAGTACCCCACTCCGCGGCCTCCTGAGTTTATCTCCCTGATGAGCTGTGGGCTGCAGGTTCTGACCTTGAGCGCTCACGGGGTGAACTGGAGACAACATCTTCACAGGGCTGTATTTAAATAAACCGCTACCCCAGCTGTCCCAGGAGATTTACTAGAGTGGATTATTACCGACCTGCTTGTGGAGCTTCGAAAATCTGCATGCTGATGTCCAGGAAATAGGACACAGGTCAGTCATCTTCGCAGAGGGACACTGGCAATTTAGTCCACACTACGAAGCAACATAAGGGGAAAAGCTCCTCAAGATTGGCTTTTTAAACACACTATGAGGCATAGGTCACCACTGGCGTTCCCCATCGTAAACAGCTCACAGAGCAAGCAAAGATATAAATCTTTTTTCAAGAAGATGGCCTGTGGTGTATTTATTTTGAAACACTTGATTTTTGTCATTAAACTCTTCAATCACACACACATAGGCATAAAGTTTTAGCTGTTAAAAGCAATGCTAATGTCATGTCATACACACGAGTATGCTTGGCTCTGAAGTGCTGGGAAGTTGCCGTCAACTACTGTACATAAACTGTATAATCTGGGCTGTGCTGATGAAGTTGACACCATTGATTTGTGGAGAAAGATGCTGTTTCCTAAGAAGATGAACACTGACAGCCTCTTCTTTCTGTATTTGGTTTAACATGAATTCCAAAATTAACTTCACTGGTGAATGAAGTAAAGGAATTGCAGTATAAGCTCTTACCAAGTGTAATGCTTTTAAGTTGCTTGTCTCATGCATAGCGATGATGGGAGGGCAGCGTGGAAGGGAGCTCTTTAATGAACAGTGAGTAGTGGGTGTAAGAGATGTTGCCGAGCAACATCCTCTCTCTGTGCTGTGTATGAAGACCCTAGATGCAGGCCTAGCTGCTTCCTGATGGATATGAATCTGAATGGCCTCCTTTTATTTCCATCCTTTATTGATCTCATGGATACAGCCGGAATGTACAGCACATTCAGTACAGCCAGAGCTCATCCATATGGTCCTTGTGATCTTTATTCAGAAATTGAAGCTTCATGACTCAGTACTGCACCCAACAGAAGCCATGAAATTGCATTATTGTACTTCATGGTACAAGGAGAATATTCTCCTTGATGTGCTGTCTCAGAATTGAGTTCCAGAGATGTGTTTTAACTGCAGCTTGTGATGTTTAAGTGGATATTTTCTTCGCTGAAAGGTGCTGTGTTGCATGTAAAACGCATTGTGGAGTAATAGGACAGTGCACTCTCAGAAGACTGGGTTGTGGGTTTAAATCCACCGTGGGAGTCCCCTGTTGTACCCCTAAGTTCTATTGCTCAGACTGGTCCTGAATCGAATAAAAACCTTCGTTCATTCAAAAGAGCTAATCATGAATCTGAAATGCCTTCTTAGATGCTTCCATTCATTCATTTTCAAACCGCTTCATCCAATTAAGGGTCGCGGGGGAGCTGGAGTCTATCCCAGCAAGCAAGGGGCGCAGGGCAGGATACACCCTGGGCAGGACACCAGTCCATCGCAGGGCAGACTGGCAGAGTCTGAGCAAACTAGAAGAGCACAGAACGTGAGAGACGTGTTCTGAATGCGGTCTTGTAGAAACATGCCAGCTCTCACCAGGGCCATGTTTCCCAGAAGCAGCATGTCTTTAGGCTATGGGAGGACACCGGAGAGCCTGAAGGAAACCCACACAAACACCAGGAGATCATCCTGGCCTGGTCTGTCCTGTCCTGGCCAGATTTCCCCCTGGCCTTTACCAATAATAACCCCCATCTCTGAACTGGCTTCATCCCTCTGCTCTCCTCCCCACTGAGAGCTGGTGTGTGGGGAGTGTACTGGTGCACT